GCAATAAAATAATTAAATTATATATTATATCTAAATTCATAGCTTTACTCATATAAAATATTCTTTTGCTACGTTGTTGAATCTTTTTCAACTAAGGAATAAAGGGTATTATTTATTTATTTTATTTTGATTCTGTGTTTATATTAATTTATTTTTATATTTTTTTATTTGATTATTAACTTATTATTTATTCTTTGATGGTAATATACTTTGAAGGTTTAATTTTGATGAACTTGAATACTATTCTCATGCAAAAACTTATTAATTAACTAGAATTATAATGATTTTTCTATAGTTTGCTAGTCATAACTAAGATTATAGAATGTAGTTTTACTATTTTAATCTGAATATTTACTCTTCTCAAACTGTATTTTTGAATAAAAAAATGATTTTTATTTATTTATTAATCCGAAATTTGTTAACTTTAAGAATATTAATGAGATTTCTTCAATCAGAAATTGTTAGGAATCACTAATTTATTGATTATTATGTTTGTCATAGATTCCTTATTATTTTAAAATCTTATCTGAATAAAATAATAAATATAAATTTATAGCTAAATAAGTAATAAATTAATTTAAAATATCTTTCTTTTAATAACAAATTATAAATTTTATTTTTATTTAAAATGATCATCTTTTTTAAATTATAACTTAAATAAAGGTTTGCTTTCATAGATAACAAAAAGGAAGAGAGAATAAATGATTATTACTTTATAAACAAATTTAATTATATTTGCTTTAATCTTCGATTAACAAGGAACTTTGAAAATACTCTTTCATAAGAAAAGAAATACTTGAAACGTCCATTATTATATAATTATTAATATTCTTTAAACTTAAACTGTCGAATTAAACAATTTGGACAAAAAGGTTAAAGAAATATAAATTAATGAATGAATTATATGATAGTTATAGAATGCTTGAATTTAATTTTAAAAAATATATATGTCAAATTAGTTTAGCAAGAATTTTATGACTAGTTTAAAGTATTTGCATTACTTGTTTCAATCAAATTTGATGTGTTAGACAATTTCAATTTTGAGAATGATGATTCAAAAAATCAATTAAGAAAAAATAAATGGCTTCTTTTAGGTGCTATGACTGAGAAGAATTAAAAATATACAGATAATTAAAAGTTCTATAAATATTTAGACTTATCTTCTAATATTACTTTTGCATTCTCTTTAAAGAAATACATCATAATACAAATATAGTTATAATTAGAGAAAATACTGAAGGTAAATATTATAATATATATCGCAGGTGAATACTCAAGTGTAGAACATGAAGTCTATCCAGGAGTTGAAGAATCAATTAAAGTGACTACAAAATAGGCATCTCTAAGAATTGCTGAATATTTAAATTTTCTCATCTTAATGGTAGAAAGAAGGTTACAGCTTATTCTTATAAGCATGTAGAGAAGTGGCTCAAAGATATTCATTCTTTAAATATGAAAAAAGGATCGTTGATATTTGTTGTATTTCCTTGGTCAAAAATCCTACACAATTTGATGTAATTGGTATGTTAATTGGTAAACATCACGCTCTCTTTTTTTAAGGTTGTAGACATACAGGAAGAGATATTGCAGAACATCTAGGTTTACCAAAGTTTCCTGATTAAATTTGTACTATTTAAGATAAAATATAAATAATTAATTTTTATATTTAGATTACAACTGAAGATATTATTGGAAATGCCACAACCGATTAATTTACAAATTAAGTTATTAAAAGCTTAGGAAGATGGTATTGTTATAAATTAAATCATAATATTA